GCGTGGACATTCACATGGTGAAAATGGACGAAGAGGCCCTGGTCGCGCGCTTCGAGGACACGGTGTGGAACGCCGAGATCCCACTGCCGGATCTCAACGGAATGGGACGGTACGCGCTCGCCGAGGCCGTCCACAAGCAGGGGATCAAAGTCGTCATCACCGGAGAGGGCTCGGATGAGCACTTCGGCGGCTACGACGCCTTCCGCGCCGACTGGCTGAGCGAGGCCGATCATTCGTGGGCGGCGCAGGAAGAGCAGCTCTCTGCGAGTGACCGTGATGAGGCGCTGCAGACGGCCGTGGCCGCCAGCAAGCGCGGAATCTTTGGGGATTTCACACCAGAGATCTCCGCTTCCTCTGAGAGGATGATGAACCACGGGTACGTCGCTCCCTCCATCGCGCGCGTGGGCTCTCTTCCCTTCGCAGAGTGGACCAGACATGCCCACGGGGACACGGCGCCAGAGACGGCGCTTGTTGAGGGCCTCGACGGCCGCGTGCGCGAGAACATTCGGAAGCGGTGGCACCCATTCCACACGGCGGAGTACATGTTTGTGAAGACCTTCATGCCGCACTTCATCCTGCGTTACAACGGTGACAACGTCGACATGAGACACCAAGTCGAGTCGCGTTGTCCGTTCCTGGACCACCATCTCACCGAGTACGTCAACAATATCCCTCCGGCGCTTAAGATCCAATACCACCACGGCACCAAGTCCTGGCGGGAGAAGCACATTCTGCGTGAGGCGGTGAAGCCGTTTGTGACCGATGAGATTTACAACATGAGCAAGAAGGCGTATATGGGACCCAGGAAGTTTTGGGTCGGGGGCCCGTTGTGGCAAAAGGTGACCGAGCTGGTGACGAAGGAAAACATCCAAGAGCTAGGCTTTGTGGACTGGCAGGCGGCCGAGGAGGCGGTGAAGAGGGCGTTTGAGGAGCAGGATGCATTGTCCTTAAGAAGAGCCATTACAGTGGCCCAATTTGTGGTGCTGGGGAAGAGATTTGGCGTAAAGAAGGCGGTGCCGGGGCAGTAGAAAGTAGAGTTGCATACATCCGTAATCAGTATTCGTAGAAGGGTTTGGCCAGTGGTGATAATTGCATCCTCGTGTTCACTCGTCACTCATTCCTCTACGGGAAACCCGTTCCTGCGGGCGCCTTTTGCCCCTAGTTATGGGGAACGGTCTGGCTCTTAAACAATGCAACAACAATGACAACTCCAGGGGAAACCAATTTACAATTTGTTGCCAAGTTATGTACCTGTCTAGGTAGGTAGGCCGTTCCAATATCATCTATGTCCCGCCTTCCGCCTCACCAGAACGCCGCAACCCTCACTTCGATGCTCTCACGGGCCTCCTCCGTGTCATCCTGTCCCACGAGTTCAAACGCACTGTGCACCGTCCCGCCGACGCCCAATCCTCCCTTCCCTCCATCCTTGCGTGGTGCCCTCGCATTCGCCTCCATTTCATTGTCAAACAACTGGATCACCAGGACCTCACTCGGTTCCTGGTCTGCAATGAAATGCCAGTCATGCGCTACACCCTCCTCTCCATCCTTTGGTGCGTAGGCCAAATACCCCTCGGTATCATACGTAGTCTCCTCGGATGAAGCAGAAGCGAGAGTAGAGGCGGAAGCGGAGTTGGGACTTTGGGGACCAACGAGGCGCGACAGGTGAGCTGGGATGGTCCGGTCAAGCGGCTCCAGTTGGGCAGAAATCACGTAATCCTCCTCCGGAAACTTGTTGGCTGGTGCGAGGGCCAGCGGATCCCGCTTGACCGTCTTGATCGGGCGCCAGATGGAAAACAGCGCGAAGCGCGGGACGCCGGCCTCGTGGTAGTGGTCCTTGAGATCTTCCAACCGGACCCCGGAGGAAAGTAGAGCGTTTTCCGCCGTGATGACGTGCTCGGCCGCCGAAGTGACTTGGTGGGCGTACTTGCGAATGTGCAGTCTTGCACCCTTGGGCGTGAGATCGAGGTGGACCTTGGGGGCGGGGGAGACGCCGTCGGACTTGGCGAGGCCGACGATGGGAGGAAATATGGGAGTAGCACCGCTGCTGCCCCCTTCTCCCTCCTTCTCCTTCTGTTCCCCTTCTCCTTTCCCGCCGTCTTCTGCTGAAGAGCTAGAATCGCTGGTGCCCTCACTGTACGTCTGCGTCCGCACAACCGCCGCACTCACCACCGCTGTCTTGCAGCCCGTCAATTTCTTCACAAACTCCTCCACCTCGGGAAAATAAACGTCCCTGAGTGCCCTTTCATCTTTCCAGCTCGCATGGCCGAATGGCTCAGCGTGTAAAGCCGAATGGTGCCGACGGGAGGTGAACCCATGCACCGAGAGCTTATAAGGCGAGGCATTGCCCAGGTCGAGCGTAGGCTTGAGGTCTGTGAGTGGAAGCGTGACGATGGAGCTGAACTCAGAGAGGGAGGGCAGGAGGTAGGCCTCTTTGGCCGAGGCGGGCTTTGCGTTGGGAGGCAGGTAGCGGAAGATGCCTTGGTGGGACATGATGAAAGTTGGCGTTGACGATGATAAACAAGCGTGTGAACTCTGATGCTGACAGGCCTTGTTCGTTTTACTTATTTCACTACGAGACTCTTAAAACCGACGAGGTACATGAGAACCTGTGTGCGTCAAATGCCTCCCGCAATTATCCGAGACATTTCCCATGAAGGCAGCCTTATTAGAAGTTGCACCTCGTAAAACGGAGACTTCTCGCGTCGCCTTCACAGAGAGCGGCCTGACATAGTCACACGCTCACTGAACAGCTCTGCAACTAAGGAGATGTCTTTCCGGCTAATCCTTTCCCGGATTTTGCCCATAAGTGTGTTGCCAAACGAGGGTCTTGCACGCAAAGGATCCACCCAAGTTGCACTGCCCACTGAAGTCCCATTTTTCGGGATCCCACCCACGATTCATGCGCAACGAGTACTGAGTACTTTGCGCATAGATCCGGCTCAGGGGTGCAGGCAGGGCTAACAAGATATGCCAAAGCTCGGTTGGCATAGATGCGGATGAAAGGGTACAGCCGGACGATGGGCCGTGCCGTGGAGCTGGGGAAAGCATTTTAAACGTAATGAATCGCGCGCAAGGCCCTCGGGGTCCGGGGGCACATACAAGGGTCCCGAGTTCGGCGCGAATAGCAGTACGAAGTACTTGGTTTGTCAACTTCGGAGGTGCTTTAATTGGGTGTGCGAAATCTCCGCTACCGGTGATGATGCGGCTGGTTGTAGCTCCACGTGTATCCAGCTGTTGGTGCTGGATTATCAGCCTCATAGTAAGCGGCGTGTGCACGGTTGTCAAGCGCCGGTGCCCGAATGCGACGCCGGGGTTCTGCCCAGGCCATCTGGACCTCAGTGGGGCTCGGCGGGTCTCGGAGGGGCTCCGGGGTTCCGGGGAACCGGGGCTGTCAGCCTAACCCCGCCGGTTCCCCTCAGGTGTCCCACTCGAGACGCCTCACTTCACGTTGCCTGCCAAGCTGGCACAGAGGCAAAGAAGAACAAAAAAAAAAACCAAATGAACAAGATGCCAAGCAACCCTTGCCTGCAGAATATGATAATATCCACGCAGACTTGAACATCAGGCTGTGCCGCTTCTAATTACCGCCGCCTGACAGGTAGCATGCAGATGCTCCACCAAGAATCAGCTCTCAGTTCTTACTCCGATCCAAGCCGGTTATACGCAGTACGCAAAATGCCTCGTGTAATCGTTGCTACAGAACAGATCCACTTTACCATCAAGAATTTTTCCTGCTTCCGCCGCCGCGATTCCACTTCCTGATGTCGTGACTCGTGAGGACCTCACTCATCTCACCCGCTGCATCCACTCACCATCGGTCCCTACAAAATCATCCCTCATTTCTCTTAAGCTCCTGGTCGACAAAATCACACCATCCCAACACAAAATCAATCCCGCCCCTGTAAACCTTCGCAACTCACCCCCAGTGAAAGATGGGCCGCATCCTCATCACCGGATCCACCGACGGCTTCGGCCTCGGCGCCGCCCGTCAGCTCGTCGAGCGCAAGCACACCGTCTATCTGCACGCGCGCAACGCGGCCCGTGCCGAGGAGGCCAAGAAGCTCGTCCCCGGCGCCGCGGGCGTCTTCATCGCCGACCTCACCAGCACGTCCGAGACTCGCTCCCTCGCCGAGCAGGCCAACGCAGTCGGCCAATTTGACGCCGTCGTCCTCAATGCGGGCTTGCTGTACGGGCCTTTCCGCGAAACCGAGTCGGGCGTGCCCGCCCAGGTCTTTGTCAACTTGGTGTCGCCGTACATCTTCACTTGCCTGTTGACGCCGCCGAAACGGATCGTGTATGTGGCGTCGGTGCTGCATCGCGAGGGGAAGCCGGACGTCGAGGATATCTTCTGGCTCAAGAGGGGCGAGAAGGAGTGGAACGACTTCGAAGCCTACTGCAACTCCAAGTTCCACGTCATGTGTCTTGTGAATGCGGCGGCGAAGAGGATGCAGGGCAAGGGCACGTCGGTTGTGGCGATGCACCCGGGCTACGTGCCCACCAAGCTCACGAAGTTCGAGGCACCTGACAAGATGGAAGACGGGCTGGAGACGTATGTCATGCTGGCCGAGGGCGAGTACGATATTAGTGGAGAGACGGGTCGGTACTTTGATCCGAAGAAGCAAAAGGGCAAGCCGCTGCCTGCTACCGAAGACGTAGGCTTGCAGGAGGCGGTGGTCAAGGCTTTGGAGGAGTTTACGGGACTGAAGCTGCCGGGTTCTGCCTGACGGCGCCGATGTCCCATCTGATGTCCAGATAGTTAGTCACCTCGCTGATTACTCAAGTCAGTAGTCTTCGAGTAGACTCATATCTGCGAGATTATCCTCGTACTTTTTCCGAGACAAAGCGCGTGGTGTTTCGAGCAAACTCATAGTCGTGACATTAAATTAAACCAAGCCCTCCGAGCCTAAATAAGTAGCGTTCGCGTCCTGCAAAGCTAAGAGAACCGGAAATGACCACCAAAGCTCTATGAATAATCTAACATTGCCCCCACCTCAACTCACCTAAGCAATAGGTCCATAGAAGCTAAACAAGCCATTGGGATCATACGCCGCCTTCGCCTCTCGCAGGCGAGTCACACGCCACTCCTCCTGTCCATACCACTGCTCCGGCCCCTCATTTCCAAACGCGTAGTTCAGGTACACGGGAACAAAATCACGTCCTGTGCCTTTGTGGAGAATCTGGCGGAACTCGTTCCCTAGCTTCGCAACCTCCTCGTCAAGCGCCGCGTCCCCGGGCATGTACTGCAACAACGGCCCGACCAACACATTCTGGGCGCGGTGCGCATACGCACTCGAATCACCTGCCTTGGCCTTGACCCCTTGCATGGAATAGTCATCAAAGGTGACCAACGAGTTACTGAGCGCCGAGTTGGCCACGATGCTATTGGCGAAGAAATCAAAGGCGAGCTTCTGGGCGGTGGTGTTGTAGGTCTCGAGGTAGATGGGGAAGCGCGGGTTGTTGGCGCCGGTCTTTAGGCACGGGCCGTCGGTGGTCCTGACGCCGACGAACTTTGCGAGGTCGGTGTATACGCCAGATTCCGACGAGTTGGACAGAGGCCCGAGGGCGTGGAATGGGGCGGTGTAGGCTGGGTCGACAGTAGTGACGCCTTCTTGCATGAGGAGGACTTGGACGATGGGCTGAGAGAGTAAGTTAGACATAACGTTGGCACACTTTGGGGTTTGGTAGGGGGATGGTAGGGTGCCGAGGAAGACGAGGGCTGAACTGACCTTCTCGGAATCAAGATCCGGGCTCATCATCCAATAACTCCAGTTGATCAAATCCACCGACTGCGTCCCGTTCTTCAATATCTCGTTGTTCGTCACCTCGTACACTTCCTTCACCAAGTCGCCGCTGAAGTTCATCAGCTCTAGCGCCCAGTCTTGATGTTCGACGTCGTAGATCTGGGATGTCACGCTGGTGACAATTCCAAAGTTATGGCCCGCGCCGTTCATGGCCCACCACAGGTCCGGGGTCGCGGTCTCATTGATCGTCACGAGCGTGCCGTTGGCGAGCACGACGTTCATGGAACGGAACTGGTCGCCAATCAGCCCGTGGCGGCCCTGGAGGAATCCGTGGCCACCACCGAGGCCGGGTCCGAGATATGAGACACATTCACATGCACCAGTGACTTCAAACCGCCATGTGTTAGCATCATCGGAGGTCTAGATAGGTGTAGGAGGAGAGACACGTACCAGCCTGCTTGCCAGCATCCCAAAGCGCGTGAGAGAGAACATGCGACTTGGTTCCGCCGGCCACTGTCACCGTCTGGCCATCTGCGGCAATTTCCACACCCGTGAGCTCATCGAGGTCTAACAGGATGCCGCTCTTCATCTTGCCCAGTGTGGTGATGGCGCCATGGGCACTGTTTGTAGCCAGGAAGGGGAGACCTTTCTTATTGGCAAACTTGACCTGTGCGCCAAACCGCCCGATTCCAATATCAGCCAAAAGATCTACTGAGGAAAGGTAGACAGGAAGTATGAAAAACAAAATTGGACGATTCTTCTTACCGTCTCGACAACATCGTTTTCAGTGGCAGGCCTCACGGCCACATTCACCGTCGGCATGTCCAAATTTGACCACCGCGTCGTGACATTGTTGAAATCGTCAGATCCCGAATAGAAGACCTTGGCGGTGCTCGAAAGCGATGCGACAAGGGCTTGGTAGTCGGCGTCCTGCCGGGACCAAAGAGTGTGGCCATTTACACCAACAGCAGTCAACGCCGTAGCGAGAATTTGCAGGCCGGTGGGGTGCATCGTGACTGGAACTGCGACCCTGGGGGATGTTCAGGAACTGAGTACGAATATGACTGGTGAATGATCGGGTTCCAACAAATCAATCAGCGGCCGCAACGAGCTACTCTTGAAATACCTGAGATGGACTCAAGATGTAGTGCAGGACGCTGCATTTTGCAAAATAGCCCTTCCAAGCGAGACCGGCTCACGACTCATGAATTCTCGCCGACGCGGAACCGGGACTAACGATGGCCTCACTTCCGAACCAGGACGGAAGCCGGCAAACCCCATCACCCGCGTGCGTAGGATGCCGAAGTTGAAATTGCGGCCAGTTACTGGCCAAGACCGGGGGGAGAAGGTTCACAAGTTGACAGAAACAGGCATCAGCCCGGGGCATTGGTCTCCTTTCGAACAGTAAGCGAGGCTCATCGCCATCATGGGCCACACCGGAAGGAAGCTGACAGCAGTAGCGTTGAGATACCAAGATATCAACTCAAAAGAGTCAAGAAAGCAGGAAAAGCTTACAAGAACACATCTCGTACTGGGAAGTCCCACCGCAAAACGTAAGAGAAACCAGGGGATCCATGACTGTGGGCTTGGTGGAGATTCAATTGAACTTTGAAAGTCGCCCTCCAGGAAGAGGGAGGCTCGGGGCCGGCCAGGTAAGTTTCGGGGTAAAAGCCGGTACTGTTTGACGGCCACACCGTAAGTCACCACACAATATACTACCACTATGCATACCTCGTCAGAAAACATGCGATGGGGCCTGAATTGTGTACATACCCCCAAGTCAGTGATCTGAACCTTGTCCACTGATACCGCACTGACATTCTCAGTCCCCCGATCTTTCCGTAGTCAGGGCGGATGCAATTCCGATGCTAGCGGTGTGGCTCTTTAGACGAACTAAATTGTCTCAGTCGGGGAGTCACTGTATAATATGGACTGGGCATGGGCAGCGAACGAGCACGTGGTCAAAGCTGATGAGGCAATTGGAGTGAATCACTTCGATATTATCTCAGACAATATCAAGTCAGGTTGATGTCTCGTCTGGTCTTCCTGAATCTTAGGAATGAATGTCTGTAAACAACGGCTCTGCCTCAGCGTCTTCAGCTGAAGGCGGTCCAATGAGCCTTGTCCCAAGTCTACTAAGTACCCATCGACCCAAATCATGGTCAAGATAATGCTGTGTGCTACCAAGAAAGAAAGATAGAACCCCCATCGATGAGCCATGTCGTATACTTTGGTGCTATACTGAACCAAGATCTGACCCACGGCGTTACCAACGCAGGACAGTGAAATGGCGGCCGCTGCCTCTGCCCAGCCTTGAGCGCTTTGCAGAATCGTCGACCATAGTAATTTGAGCTGTGAGAAGGTTCGAGACCAAGTTGAAAGAGGCATGTACTTACATGGGTGAACAATCAGGTCGAGATTTACTAAAACTCGCAGAAGGATTGCGTTCCTCCAATAGTGGCTGACATCCCGGGAAAGTATCATAATTCCCGGGACGAGACAACTCACTACCATGACTGCGTCTGGCAAAGTCACGATTGTCAGTGCCATCCGTTCCCAATCGCCGTCGACAATGCGTTTACTCACGGGAAGCCGGGGGCATGCAATACGTGACTAGTCCTACTAACACAGTAATCACTATGTAAATAACGCCGAGGCTTGATTCGTCGCGACCATCATTGTCTTTTGACTCAAAAAGAACCGAGGCTAGAAAAGGATGCAGCAAAGGGGAGGAATATTCTAGCAACAGAGCGTGCAAGCGGCTGCATTAAAATTAACCCTTGAACTGTAATGTAGAGCACAACTAACCTGTCGCCGACTCAAAATCAACCTCGTCATATCGTCGAAGAATTTGTGTAACCAAGTGCTATGGCGTTGCGCAATAGTTTGGCACGCATCCAGCCAAGAAACTTCGCCAGGTTGGCCGATGGTCTGTGACATGCCAATCATCATGTGAATCACTAAGAAGATGAAGTGAAATATAGCGACGAAAAGGCGGAAAGGCAGAGCTTTGGGACCGGCAAACCCCCAGAGAACCTCCACTTTAGGGACGGCAACGGTCACCAGGAGCAGTCTCAGTGGCAGCTCATTCGCTGGGTACCAAGCCAAGATGAGAATAAGAACTGTTGAGAAGAGGCACCCATCTAATCCGCCTTCGGGGAAGAAACCGGGAAGGGTAGCATTGTTGGTGGCTTCGGCGACAAGTATGAATACTGCCCATGGGAGATTCGCTGATGGTGGCCTCATTATGCGGCGCGAACTCACCCTTTGCGACAAAAATGCACGGAAAGACCAAGTTGAGCGGCAGCCTTGACAAAACAGCGAGCTGCAAGGCTTGTCCAATGACGAAGGAGACCTTGTAGTTCAACGGATCGTAAGAATGGCGGTCGAAATCGTATGGTCTAAAGATATTGACGCTGAACTGGAGAGGGTCAGCCTCATTGGCGAATTGGGGATCAAAATAGAAGAATGCCAATGCCGAGTAGATAACAGCAAGCACTTGGACATCGCAATCAGACTCTTCGAGCCACAACACCCAAGTCCATATGACGGGGACTTGACATGCGGTACATCCCCAATATGCGAATACACTCGAAGTCGTATACCGGAGGAGTGGGGATACTTACAAAGCATATAACGAGGAACAGAAATTCAGTTTTCCGTCGACCCGCTCGATTCATTACTGGAGGTTGACTGCCGTGATTGCTTGTGTTCGGAATATCTGGCTGTAGACCGTTTGGTAGAGGACTTTCGGCGACACCGGGGGTAGTCGGATGTGGTGCAAGTGAGACGCTAACTTGGTCCATCAAACGCATCCCTTCCAGTTGGCGACGGCTTGTTCTGAGGTTGGCTTGCCGATGATACGTCTGTGCCTTCGAGTCATACGAACAAAGCATGGCCCTATGCATCTCGCGCTCCTGCCCACATACAAACATTGCAAGAGGGGGCGTGTTGCATTGTAGATGTGTCAGCGTCAGAAGGTGCGTATCAATGAGGGTGAAAGAAAAGCTGTCCTCTGCTTGTTGCGCGGAAAGAGTCTCTGAGCGAGTGCTGACAGTGTCAGAGTTGGACTGTAAGGATACGTCTCGAAGGTTTCCGTGGTTTGAGCCCCAGAGGTATGTCTCAACAGTTCCAGCATCCATGAAACCTTCAACGCCAATGAGGCGAGGGACGAATGGCTGCTTGGTGTTTCGCTTGGACCTGATGAGAAGTACAGGAAGTGCTACAGCAAATACTCTAATGATGAAGAATATGATGGTCGCAAAAGCCTTGACTGGAACCAGTGAGCCAGATTGATCAATGGATGGCCATTCCGGTTGGGTGAATTTGGGAAACCCTTCGGGCGGCTTCATTCCACCCATGCGGTCAAATGATGACACATAAATCCCGATCATGATCAGAACCGGCACAACCGTGCAACAGAAGAAAGAGAAAGAGAATAGTGCGTTCTGGATTTGGCCAATACTCCGGTCACCTTACGGCTCTGGATCGATGCTCTCCCATTGGATTGTGGCTCCGTAGACGCCATCAAGAGTGACCGTGTCGGAGCCTGAAACGCCTTGGACTTTGAGAAGTGGTTGAATGTCTCCCACTCTTGCTCGCCATTGGTCTTATACGTGATACCCAGGAGCACCACTTGGCGGTGAGAGACATATTAAGCGATCAAGAAAGGCGCCACTGTCGTTGGCAAGCGATAAGTTGGCAAAGGCCTGGAACCTGGTGTCTTCCTTGTTGACGTGTGGACGGAAGCGGCTTGGAAAGAGTCGTATGATCGCGTAGGCTATGTCTCCATGGCTTAATCGGTTGGTCTAATGCTGCCTCGATCAAGTTCCCCGACGTCAGGATTGCCGAGCCTTCGAAGTGATTAACGAGTTCCTTGACAGTCTCACCGTCGTCCCAAGCCCTCTCTGCAAAGTTCCGTTTTGCCATGGGCTTCGGCCCCGAAGGATCTCCGATAACGTAGAGACTTATTCTGTACTCTGCTGGACAGAGTAGGAGTTCCAGCAACGTCCAGAGCCTTGACCACCATTTTCTGAGCCAGAGAGTCACCTGCTCCCTGCTGTATGGAGGAGGTTTCTCGTCGACCAGAAGGCAGGCCACCTTTTCTGAAGCCGTCAATCCTACAGCTATGATTATAGATTGTGCAGCCGTACGATCCAGTCGCAGATTCTGTACACGTCTTTGCTGCCGCTAGTTGAGCTTGCGACTCCGTCGTCGCTTCGCACGCATTCAAAGTCCAACCCAAAGGCTTTCTTCCTGGCTCGTTTGGCCGCGTCCGTTCCCCATCTTGCCAGCGTCAAGTCTCACGATCTCTTTTCCCTAAAGCTCGGTTGGATTCTCTCGTCTCTTCATCAGAAGTGTCGTAGCTGGAAATATCATCGTCGGTGGCTACCCGGAAATGTATACGTGTGTAGGAGACAAAGGCGAATTCCAGATCAATGTCTTCTCCGATCTCGGCAAGGTGTTCAAGTACGTTGATGGGTATAGATGTGTCCTCATCGAAGTCTTTCACAGAGCAAAGATACCTCCGACGAACAAAGGCGGTGGTATCTCCTTGATGTCTTCTTTCGTTGTCATTGTAGGTGAACCTTGGCTGGTTCTGCCTGGACAGAGGAGGAACCTAGCCCTCGTCCATTCGTATATTGTCCAGATACTGACAACCAGTTCTCGCAGTGTTACCAGCGGAGACAAGAGCAATTTACGGGTCCAGTTTCCGAGAGCCGCCGTTTGCCAGAGATTGCCGCTGAACACCTAATTCAGACACGGAAAATGGGTTTTGTAAACCAGTCTAGAAAATATGGCCATGGGCTGTTGCCAGGATACCTGAGGTGTATATCAGCAAAGGGAAATACGGTTCGACGCCTCAAACACGCTCAGACAAGATGCACATAGACTTATCCTACCAGAACGCAAAACAAACGCATGAAACAATGAATTTCAGAACCGTAATGGTGAGAACGCAGGGTCATTACGAAAATCCCGGGTGCCGTGGACGTATGATGACGACTCAG